AAGCTAGTCTGTGAAAGTTTGACCTCCCTTTGCTTTTACTGATGTCATCCCACCTGCAGAACCAAATGCTTTTCAGTGTCATGACTGTACTGGACAGGAAAGAATGACAACCAATAAAGGTAACAACATGATCTGTTAGCATCAGAGGGGTTATGACTTTGTGAACAGCTAATTAAAGTGTTCCATTCATTAGGCTTTGGCTAAAGAAAATAGACTGGCTGCTTTAATAGAAGTGACTGTTTAATATGAAGTGCATTTTAATATTTTTCTCATTAAAAATAAAAAAGAAGAAAGAAAAAAAAGAAATTTATTTGAATAAATTATTTGGATGAAAAATATACTTTTTTCCTTAAAAATGGTACGTAGGAGCTGCTACTGTGTATCAAGAACTGCACTAAGAAAGAAAGAAAAGGGAGGGAGGAAAGGAGGGAGGAAGGAGGGAGGGAGGGAGGGAGGAAGGAAGGAAGGAAGGAAGGAAGGAAGGAAGGAAGGAAGGAAGGAAGGAAGGAAGGAAGGAAGGAAGGAAGGAAAGTACCAGCAGAGCAGATTTGTAACTACTGCATCATTTTCTCAAAATCACTTTCAAGTGGCTGAGTTTCCCAAAGCACACTGTGGCTGTTTTGTTGACTGCACAAGGCATGCCACTGCAGCTCTGCCTGCTTGCGGTGTCTGGTCATTCCCTAGGCAGAAGAGGCCATACACTGAAAACATCTGATTTGGATGCTAGTACATGCATACAACTTCATGCATTGCTTGTTTTATCAAACTGTTGACCTTCAGAAACTCTAAATGAATCCCTTTCCCTCTTAGAGTCTTTCGAAGTTTAATATGGTCCACAGTGAGATTATGCACTTAGCTTGTGTCTTTACACAGTTACACCACTCATAAGCCTGAATTTATTTTTTTATTTTGTTGTTGTTGGTGGTGGTGGTTTTGGTAGTGGAAGTTGGTAGGTTAATAGCAGATGGTCAGCGCTAACGCTTTCTCCATGCAAGTAACCTACTAGCTCGACTGTCATCCTTCTACAGTGGCTGTGATATCCTCCTCTGGCACCAGAGAGCACTCAGGATGGTACAGGAGAAAGACAGGGTTTGAAGCCAGTCTGGGTAATGTTCAGCACGACAGGGAGGAGACTAGATTGCATCTCTGTAATGGTGCTGCTCTGGGCCTTCAAGTAAAAACTGTGTGTGTTTTTTTTTTTTTTGAGAAATAAATGCAGTAAAGATCACTTAGCTGTAAGTAATTAAATGGTAATCAGTTTTTAATCTTTGAGCATATTTTTTATTACTTTGCTATTGCTACACTAATTGCATAACTCCCAGCAGTGAATGTGTTTTTACTCCGATGAAGCCTTAAATGTTTAATTTCCTCCTTTTGGTAAATATTTAAAAATCCCACTGATAACACCTACCTCTGAGCCTGAGATCTGCAAGCAGGATATTCATCACATACAACAACGAATTTAAATTCTTACTTTGAGGGAAAACATGGTTTAGTCTTAATCACAACCGAAATATTTACATTGGAATAAACACTTCCAGGGAAGTCCTACATGATGGCATCAGCCAGGTGTATCGTGATGGGCTCAGAAGTAGTAAAACATAGAAAAACAATGTGGTGTGAGGGACCTGCTGAGCTGCTGAGGCCTGTTCCCAGCTTTCAGAGTGGTTTCAGAGGTTGATCAAGCTCTGCTCTAAGAGCAGTGAGGCTCTTTGCTCCACTTTGGAGCTTGTCCTGGAACAGTCCCAAGGGTGTTTGTAGCCCTCTAGCTTCCAGCCTAACGGGGTGTGTGGATTTTGCCGTTGCTACGTCTTTTGGGGCTTAGAAATGTTCAGAGTTAGGAAGAAGAATTTCTCATTTAAAGGTGATTTTTCCTTTCCCTACCCCACCTGTGGCAGACATATCATCCCTCTCCCTTTGCTCCACCCGAAGCGACACCTTGCACCCTGCATATTGGTGAGACGTTGAAGCGGGCTGCTATCACAGGTGCAAGCTGTAGTGTTGGTGTGGGATAAAATTCAGACCGAGGCCAAGGCTGAAACAAACAAAAACCAACTAACAAACAAAACCCAACCAAAACCAAACCGATCCAGCTTCCTGAACCCAAATGGGGATGGTATTTCCACAGGAGGGGCGTTAAAGCAGGCTTCTGTCTTTGTAGTTATATACTCTCTGGAAAATGTAACGCCGGATGGCTGGCAGGATGGTTGCATTTGGAGTGCGTGTGCCACAGCCGGCGGCAAGTTTAATTCGTGACAGGATTCGGTGTTTGTAACTGGTGCATTTGGGGATGCTTTTAAGAAACGCAGGGATTTATTAAATATCTCTGTGTGTACGTGCAACGGGTGGGTCTGGCAGGCAGGTACAGACCCCCCACCTCCCAGGGGAGCGGGAGGCGGTGCTGTGGGAGGCCGTCCCCCGCCGGAGGCCGCCCCCCGGCCGCCTCGCCCCGGTCCTGTCCGCGGTGCTGAAGCGGCCCCGCCGTGAGGGGCGGGGGGGCGGCGCCATGGCGGAGCGCGGCGCCTGAGGCGGCATGGAGGCGGATTTGGCCGCCTTCGGCAGCCCGCTCTGCGGAGAGCTGAAGCGCTTCTGCAAGCGGCTGCGGGAGGCCTACAGGGAGATCAAGGAGGACCTCACGCCCTACAGGGATGACCGCTACTACCGGTACGGGAGGGAGCGGGGAGAGCAGGGGCAGGGGGAGCCGCGGATGGGCGCCTCGCCCCCGCCTGGCTCCGTCTGCCCTGTCCGGTAATGGTGGCGGAGGGACGGGGTTGGGGTCGGGAGGTGACACCAAGGCAGGCGGAGGGTAGATGGGGGCGTGGGGTCAGAGGAAGGGGCTCCAGGGTGGAGTGTAAATCGGGAGAGGTGGCAGGAGAGGCATGGATGCGGGTTGGTGATGAGGAGTTATGTAACATTGCCCCGCAAAAGGGGATGGGAATTACAGCGCCTCGCACCAAGCACGACGCAGATGCGGTGGGTACGCTGCTCAGACAAAAGGGAAGATTAACTCCCCTGCGAGGTCCCTCCCAGCTCAATTTTACCACGAATCTGAGCACAAATAGCATCCCAGTTCTCCTGCTTACACCGCTGGACTTCAGCGTGCAGTGCCTGCCTTCCCCAGCGAAGGATGTGGTCTGTCATACTGAATCCCACTCGGTTTGCTCAGTAGCAAAGGCCACAGAGAGCCACGCAGGTTGGAAACGCCGTCAGGCAGCTTGGCGGTGTTTAACACAACTACTGTCCCCTGGTCAGAACAGGGGCTCCTTGTACCTGAGCCTGGCGTGTGAAGTCATGGGGGGCAACAAGGCCTGATGAGCGTACAGTAATGAATATTGGCACTAGAACGAGGAAAGAAGGGAGAAATAAGCTTTGGATTAACAAACGAGAGGCTCTGGGAAATGCACGTGGTCAGCTTTGTTGCCAGAAGACAGCCAAGCTCTCTGACGTAGATTCCCGTTTAGTCATTTTGATGACTACAGGAGTGTGAGGAAGGCCCTTCTGCGTTGAACAGAGAAGACGTGACTCCACTGAATCAAACGGGCCTGCAGAGTTAGTGCTAGATTGCCCTTCTTTCAGTGAGGGTGTCCTGAGAGGTATCAGATGGAGAACCTGTAGGACGAAAGGTGCTGAAATTAAGAGATTTTGTGCTCTTGAGGACGAGGTAACCTTTCATGGTGTAGGCAGCATGCTACTCCTCTGCATCCCCAGTATCTTCACCTAACTGACCTAATGTGGAGTAAGTTTATTGATGCTGTCACTGCATGCCTGCTGTTCTCAGTGAGTGTTCCCCCTTAGCATTCTGGATGGATGTCTGGAGTAATCAGGTTACTCACATTGTCTGAAGCAATTAGGTTACTAAGAACAAATAACGTCTTGTATCAGACCAACAAAGTGAAGAGACAGTAAAACCAGATGTTTTTTCCTCTCACACACTGTGTCCACAAACGTGTGGCTATTAACTCCCCTCCCGCTGGGTGAGGGGAGTTAATACATTTGGCATCAGCTGGCACTTTGCATTGCCTTAAGGAAATTGAGATCTGCAGTATATTAAGTGGTAGGGAACGAGGGGGTGTGGCAAGGCATTAGCTTGCCAGTGATCCATATTTTCCAGAAAAGAAAAGATTAATAAAAAGTTGGCTGCTGTAGTCTCACTTCTGCTTTCTGTAAGGACGTCCTTCCTGGGGTGCCAACAGGGATGAGGAAAACTCAGAACGGGAAGGCTTTGGGGCAGAGGTGAATCAGAAGGGGAAAAAGGCAGCGGACTGGGGCCAGCCGCGCCTCAGCGCAGCGATTAATGGGCAGACGTGGCGCTTCGTGAAAGAGGCGTGTACAGCTTGATGGCGTGTGATGCTAAATAACCTCACTGCTGGCCCAAATGCGAGGTTGGTCCTGTCTCTGTATGCCTAACATTACTCTGTGAGGCACCAGGAGCTTGCCGCCATTCGCGCAGCGCTGCCGCAACCCCGTGTCCCCTCGGGCGCTCCGTACCCCCCCCCCACCCCCTTACCCCCTGCTCCCCCCTCCCCTCCCGGCGGGCGGTGACGTGGCGGCCGCGTGACGCAGGCGGGGGGGGGGGGCGGCGCCCGCACTGCGCATGCGGCACCGGCATGGAGCCGTGAGTGGGGGCGGTTGGGGGGGGCGTGAGGGGAGTAACGGCCGCGGGGGGCGGTTGGGGCTCGGTGCGGGGCTAAGAGCGCCCGGCAGAGCTGTAAAGGGGCTGGGGGGCTCCTCCGGGGCTGGCAGCAGCTTCTGTGCGCGGCCTGACGGCTGCTGGCAGGGGGAGGCTGCTCCCTGGGCTTTCCCCGTCAGCGCCTCCCCGCTGTTGGGTCCGTTAGGCCCCTCAGGGAGAAGCTGTCGGGGGGAGATCGTCCGCTCGCCTTCACCTGTCTCTGTAAATTCTGTGTAATCTCTTCCCAAAAGGCAGCTGCTGAACAAACATGCGGGAGGATTGTTCTGTCTGCCTGCTCTGTCAGCTGGGGGTTAAGGAGATACTTCAACACGATCGGGAACTTCTGTTACTGCAGGCAGGGACAATGAGAAATACAGCACCCTGTAGGAACACTAAATATTATTTTTTGTTGTCACGGTAGCTGCAGTTAAGATTTGGCTGAGTTCTTTCATTCAGCTCTTAGAAAAATCGTTACATGATTGCCATGACTTAAAAACACTGAGGTGTTTTCACCAAGCGTCTCTGAAAGTTGTCAGGCACAGCACTTGTATGGCTTGAGCACTGGTGGAAATGTTGGGGTGTGAGCTGATGGGTTCCAGCGTTGCTGCCTTTGTGAGTAAAAGTCATGGTGTTTACCTGTATCGTGGCGTAAACCACCACCTGACTGCTTAGTTTAAGATCTAGCTTCAGAGCAAATAACTTCTGAGGTGAGTGAGGTTATTCATATAAATGTTTAGAGAATGCACCAGGACGGACTTGACTGCTGTGTCCATAGACACTTCTGAAGGACCACTATCGACATGGTCCCACAGCCAGTTAAGTCTGCAAATGCTTTCTGCATAGTATGGTTCTGCTGGCCAGCTGCATGCTACACGATGGTGGATTCACAGGCTGGTTTGGGGAATGAGGCTCTGCAGTTATCCTACCTGATCACATAAGGTTTTAGTCCACAGGTGCAGGGTTTCCATCAGATCTAACATAGGTCACTTATTTATCAGTGAGTTTTAAGTTACCAGAAACCCCACGGAAATATTCTGTCGGTCTGACCTACTGTTCTTGTTCCCCTTTCTATTTTTGTTGGTTTTACTTTCCAACTTTGACTCTCAGTTACTAATATTTCATTTCCTTTGTCCTTTCTGAACTCTGTCTTGCTGGCAGCTATGACCTTTTCAGAAGATGTGTGTGCGTGTGATTTTTGTATGTGTAGTTGGTACTTCCAGCTTGCTCAAACATTGCACTCAGTTGTGAGAAATGAGGAAATAAAATGAGTAGCTTGCCTTTTGTGTTCCACGTGTCTTGTGTTTGGCTCTTGAAGTTCGTATTTTCAAACTTTGAGGTCCAGAAATCAATGGATTTCTTTCAAAGAGCTGAAAGTCTTCTGTTACAGGATCCCACAGACTGGAGGATTTCATTGTTTTGTTTTGTTTGTTTTTCACCTTTTTCTTCTTATCCTGATCTTCTGCCATTTAAATTCTTCTGGACAGATCTGTGCAGCCTTATTGACCTGTGAAATAGCACGTACACTCAGTTGCTGAAATGAGCCTTTAAGAGTACCCGTATGAAAGAAAAGAGGAAAAGGCACACCATGTCCATGCTCTGTGATCTGCTCTCCTTGTAAAGTGTCAGCACGCCTGTTCTTCATGTGTATTCATACCCATCTTGACTGCTAGGTGTTGCACCATCCAGAGATGCTGGAATAAAGAACAAGCCAATGTCTGGAACGTGCTTCTTTGAAAGACTGTGAGCAGTCTGTGCTCTGGTGCAGGAGTAAGCCAAGGTGCTAACTGCTGATAGCTGAGTGAGCTCTGGCAGCTTGCCCCCAAGGGCTGTGGAGATGAAGCTGCTTTTCATGCTCACATCATACACCTCTCTGCAAAATCTTGGGAAATGGGAAGCTCATGAAAAGAACCAGAAATGTGCCTAGCGAATCAGAAGTATCCTGCACCAGACTGTAGTTGTTAGGCATGTTCCCAGATGTAAGCTGTTAAGATCTGCATGAGCTTATGTGGCACTTCCCTGTACATACATGATGAGGCTCCTGTCTTCAGTCTTTCTCAAGCCAGGAGCTTTCCAATTTCAGACCTGGTTTCTGTGTATTGAATAGCCCCGGTGGTTGCTCTTCCATGAAGGATTTCTTTTCCCCTTTCATTTCCCCCCTGCCTTGGTGAGCTAAATTGCAGTTTGGATCTTACATGCTTTGCCATACAAAACAAATGTCACTTGTTCTGCAGCACCTCATTTGGAAAGATTGCAGTGATTCTTAAATAACATTTACATTATGATTAATAATCCCAGTCCCTTGTGAGGCAGTTCTGACGGGCAAAGGAGTCCAGGAAGGCTGGATGCTCTTCCAGAAGGAAATCCTAAAGGCAGAGGAGCAGGCTGACTGTATGTGCTGAAAGATGAGCCAGCAGGGAAGAAGTCTGGCCTGGCTGAACAGAGCTCTGGCTAGAGATCAGCACAAGAAAGAGAGTTTATAGCCTTTGGAAGAAGGAGCAGACCACTCAGGAGGACTACAAAGATGATGTGAGGCTGTGCAGGGACCAAATTAGAAGGGCCAAAGCGCATCTGGCTACTGCCATTAAAGCCAATAAAAGATGCTTCTATAAATAGATAAACAAGAAAAGGAGCACTGAGGAGAAACTCGATCCTTTATTGGATGTGGGGGGAAGCACAGCAAGGAGATGAAAAGGCTGAGGAACTTAATGCCTTCTTTGCCTTGGTCTTTAGCAGCATGACCACTTGTTGTCTGGGTACTCAGCCCCCAAGGTGGTAGATAGGGGTGGGAGCAGAACTGAAGCCCTCATAATCCAGGAGGGAGCTGGGGGTGCTTAGTCTGGGGAGGAGGAGGCTTAGGGAGACCGTATCATGCTCTACAACTACTTGAAAGGAGGTTGTGGTGAGGTTGGTATCAGTCTGTTCTCCCAAGCAGCAGGTGACAGGATGAGAGGAGCTGGCCTCAAGTTGCACCAGGGGAGGTTTGGGTTGGAAATTAGGAAAAACTTCTTCATGGAAAACGTTGTGAAGCGTTGGAACAGGCTGCGCAGGGAGGTGGTTGAGTCACCATCCCTGGAGGTATAGAAGAGGAGGTATAAAAGATGTGTAGATGTGGTGCTTAGGGGCATGGTTTTGTGGTAGGCTTGGCAGTGCTAGGTTAACAGCTGGACTTGATGGTCTTAGAGGTCTTTGCCAGCCTAAATGGTTCTGTGGTTACATGCTTTTGCTGGTTAAAAGTGAATTAATTGCTTGCCTTGCGTGTTCCCGGGCATGCAGGCCCAGGGGTACCTGCTCCCAGAAGTTGGGATGGGCATTTGGAAAGGATGCCGCCAGTTTTAATGCATTTATTTCTTCTTTGATCTGGTTGGCCAGTACAAACACCACTGTCGGATGGTGAAAAGAAATTTTATCCCAGGCTGATCGCTGTGCTTAGTCGTAATGCTTTCACTCCTTTCCATGGTGGTGCAGTCGTGTATTGCTCCTACAGCTTTATTAGAAAACAACAACCCTCCAGACCCACCACTGCTCCCAAATCCTACAACTCTCCTGTATAAACAGGGCAGCTTTCTATTATCTTATCGACTGGCATAGCATCAGAAAATTAACAATACTGTAGCTCAGTTCTGGCACAACTGAAAGCTAAATGCTGGATCACAAGATCCTGTGCAGGTAAGCAAGTTAGTGATGTCAATTCTTTTATCTTAAGCTGGCATTGTGGCAAATCTGGTATTCTGGATGTTTAAATGATTAATTTATGAACCAAAAAAAGTGACTTTTTCTCCCTCTGAGTTAGAAAATATTTTCTTACTCAGGTCTTAGGACAATAGAAAATCATAGTATTAAAAAAAACGTGCAAAATGAGTCTGCTTCGGGATCCGGGTATGGGTGCCCATACATACGTCTGATAATCCCTAGTAGTGTTAAGGTGTTTTCTTTTCTTTTAGTGTTACATGTTACCACAGAGATTGGTCTGATTTTCTTTGTGGAGGAATGGATAATGATTGGGATTTTTTTTTTCTTTAGAAATACGACTGATGGCTAATTCTGTGCTTTCTTCTGCTTCCCATAGGTTGGCACCGATGCGGTTATATACACTATCCAAAAGGCATTTTGTCCTGGTCTTTGTAGTATTCTTCATCTGTTTTGGTTTGACAGTCTTCATAGGAATAGCAGGTAAGGATGTTGCCTTCTTAAAACAAAAAGTTTTTGCATGCTTTATCTACATGTGTTGATATTTACAGGAGTGTGTAAGTGCTAATGAGCTTACTGCCCTTGAGGTATCTGAGGAAATATTATTTTTACGGGGAGAGGGAGGTGTTTTGTATGCCACATTTTTTTTTCATAGGGGTACTTACTACCTGCACAGATTTGGTATTTGTAACTGCTTTGCAGGGGGAGTCAGTTAAAGACAAACAAAACAAAACCTTTGTAACATAATTTTTCAGCTGAGTACTACATTAATTTTCTTCTTTACATTTTAGTCTGTAAAATAATGGTGCTAATACTGTATTTCCTGTGGGGGAAGTTTGTAACTATAAAGTCTTCTAAATTTTGGAGGTGTAAGTGCAACAGAAATTAAAAATGTTTACATTTTAGTAATGTAATAGTACAAACTTCATTTGTTGAACACATGAACCCAGGTCCCTAAGTCCAAAGACCTCTGTGGGAGTCATGATAAGATCTAGGAGGCTGAGTGCTTAGTGGCTGGATCTTGTCCTGGATATCAGAGATACTTCTGGAAGTCTGGTTTACAAAGTTGCAGGGTGCATTTGGGAAGTGTCTGAACCCTCCACATTTCATGTCAGAGAACTTCTTGGGGTCTAAAATGTACTTGGAAGAGGAGTCTGCATGCTGTCACTGAAGTTACAGCACGCTAACGCTCTGCTGGTGGGATAGCTTCAACACAGAAGTTCAGCAGCAGACAGGGAGAGGGAAAGGGAGGGACTGGTTGTGTTCTTTAAGCAACCTGACCCCATTTAACAACCATTTAAGGATTTTATCAAGTCACCCAAACTGGGGAGGACTTGGCTGCTGTAAGCAAGGCTCAGTCATCTGCACGGTGCTGGGGTTCCAGGGCTTGCCTGCCATTCCCTTCAGGAGTTGGACTGGCTGAGGAATTCCTGTCCCTGTGAGGTTGGTTTGCTGGATTGCTTTGTTGACAAAGCATGGACGCAGTTTATTATAATAATTAAATTATTTTTGGAAGAAAGGTGTTTACCTTGGGAGGAGAACCATTGACTTAATGCTTAAACTGCAATGATTTTTAATAGCTTTTGTTGACAATTTCATGCTTGCTTCGAACAGAGGGAGGGGCATGAACAATAGAGTATTCACTCTTCAAAGGGCACAGAGTGAGTAAAACTCACCAAACCCACTATGTAAATGGAAAGGTGATGCATTCAGATTTTCTGTGATGCCTGTGTATGCAGCTCCCCATACTCAACATGTCTGTCTGCAGGATAGCAGATGTCTTACTACTCCTCTGAGTAAAGAAGATAGCTTAATCTGAGGTGACTGTTGCTCTTTGGTTCTTGTAACCCAAGACAGATGCAGATTTGTTTTTTTCCCAACTTCCACTTGCTCTCTTTCCCTTTTCCTAATGTGTCCTTGTCATCTTTGGGTGAGATGAGTACAGAACTCATGTTCTGTACCTATGCAGTTTTCATGTTCCCCACCTCAGTGATTGCCTGCTTTAAGATAGAACTCTGTTAACTTAGCAAGACTAAAAGAAATAACAATAATATAGTTTAATCATTTTTTTTTGTTTTGTGTATGTTTTTATTTTTTTAGTAAGAGCACATCATTTTTTAGTCAGCTGCTTTAGAAAGCTTTAGTATATTGCTTGCTAAAGGAGCAGCAGTTATGGCAGCAGAACCTCCTTATTGTTTGGGTTGCTGTTCTTGAAAACCATGATTACGATCTCTCTGCTCCGGTATCTTTTCATATCTTTTGGTAAAAAAAACGAACAAACAAAAAAAAAAAAAACACGTTCATTCTATTGTTTTTGTTAACAGTTACTGAAATAAGATGATTTATCAACTTCGAGCACTTATTGAACTTCAATTATGTGTTTCATAACAAAAATGCTTTCTGAAAAGCTGTCCAGGCAGTTTGTATGTACTTGAGAATTGAAATTTTGAAATTGAGAATGAGCTTCCTTAAAGGAAGTCAGTGGTGGAAAACTTTCAGGCCAAGTTTATTAATGCTATTGAGATGCTGAAGTGATTTACCCTTCAGTTCAAACATCGGCAAAGTGGGATACTATTTTGCTGCTTTACGGGGAGGTAATTAGTACAGTGTTTTGAAATTCTGTATTTATATTGTTACTTTAATATTATTGTCTTTCTTTTAAATATTTTGCAGGTCCTAATGTAATTGAAACTTCTGTAGCAAGAACTGACTTAAATAACAGCCTAAAGGTAAGAACAGATAAATAGTGCTGGATTACACGAATGGCTTTACTTGGTATCAGTAATGTTAAACATCCCCTTCCCCCAGCCTCATTATTTTTACTAGTTAGATTTTTACTAGAAAGCTTCTTGGCCACATGATGCTTTCCAAACTGAAACTGATCATGCAGTGTTTTTATTACCGCTGTGTTACTTCATGAATGACCCAGCAGCATTTTTTAACCTGTTACTTTTGTGAGCAGGCAAGATAGGGAATTTTATGATGGGATGGTATTTCTTCATGTCTTGATAGGATTCCCTGGTGAACTCATACTGGAGCTTCTTCTAAGGATCCAGAAGGAAAAACTGAGAACTGAAACAGAAAAACAGTGTTCTTAGTGACAAATAATGATAATTCTCCTGTGATTTACCTTTTCTATCAGCTGGGAAGGAATGTTTCTTCTTTTTTAATTGTTCACTGTCGAGTGATCAAGACAGTACGATCTGGCTTTCTACCACGAACCTTTGCATTCATTCTCTTGAAAATGTGTATATTAAGCTTTTATTTTCTGATTCTCAGTTTCTCTGTCTTTATTTCCATTTAGCTCTTGTCAACCTAATAGCTAAAGTAATTTTTGTAAAGGTGCTAGTAAATTAATAAATTCAAGTATAGTTTCTTTAAATACACTGAAACTTGTGTTTTTGTTGTTGTTCCATAGTCCACCTATGTATGTTTGAATTGGTACTCTGCTGTGGGTGGATTAAAAAAAAATAATTAAAATAAGAAAAGGCTTTCCTGCACATAGATTTTATCCATTAACCATATTTCCCTTGCTTTTGACTATGGAATTTCTAGAAAACCTAATGGAAAAATTGTGGTTTTTTTTTTCACACTTTAAGCTTTAAACCATTTCAACTCTGTAGCAGATGGGGATGGGGGTTGTCACAAATCTCACTTGATGTAAGTGCTAGAAATATACTTTACTCAGGCTAAGTCTTAGGTTTTTGACTTTCATATCTGAACTGTTTTTATTGCTGATGCTTTTATGTGCTTTAAGTACTCATGCCTTACTTTTTATTTTGCTGGTCAAAATACATATGCTGCTTTAGATACTTCTCTGGAAGACTTAAATTTGGGGTGCTTATCATACTGTCCACACAGAGTATATTAAATCTATTTCCCAAAATACTGACACTAACATACCTTTTATCATTATTACTGCAGATGCATCTTGTAATAGAATAATGACTGGTGCTAACCTTGTGATGTTTTTTTTTGTTTTGTTTTGTTTTTTTACAGCTTAAGCCTTTTAATTTAAGTTCACCACCACTGTCTACTTACAACCAGCAACTGTGGCTGACCTGTGTAGTGGAATTGGATCAGCATGATGGTGAGAATCTTACCTAGTTTTAAAGAAACTGTTATAACAACCTAATTTTGTATACTATAATTTCTTTAATTTCATCTGCCACGTATGTGACCCTGTTGCTTTATGGCTGGTAATGGGTTTTTCCTGACACAGTCTCTTCCCCTTCACCCCTTGTCCTCAGTAAAGGCATGGACTCAACTAATTTTGAGAACTGGATGCAACAGTTTTATGGGATAGATTGATTGTTATTTCTGTGAAAACAGTAGTATGCAGAGAATGTGTGTCTGTTTCTTCATTTTGGGGAGTTTATATATATATAATGATATGAATTGCACAGTAAAGCCTCCCTGTAAATGCATGAGAAATAATGCAATCAGGAATTCTTTAATTTGTTAAGATTCAGTACAGGGCATTTATGCCTAAACACATAATGAAAAGATTGGTGTATTTTGTTATTATTAATTAATATAATAGAACCTAACTTCTGCAAGTTATAACCAAGTAATCTTTGGATACCATATGTATTTTAAACTTTATTTGGAACTCTTTTTGAGTTCCATACTTCCACATGTAACAATAGTTTAACCTTTTATTCTTTAATTACAGTGTCACTCAAAAGAAATGTTACTATGACAGTGAAAGTCCTCGGAGTGGTGAAGGATGGAAGTACGCCATATGTTAATAATCAAGTTCACAACCGGACAAGGTTACTCAGCTGTGCTCAAGTATGTGTCTGCTTGAAGAAAGCTCTGATGCTTCTTGTTTTAAATATTTGTGTGCATGCTACATTATGTTGTCAATGAGAAGAAAGTATCTTTAAACACATCTCAGGAAAGACTCCAGAGTAGGGTTTCATTTGTAGTTGCAACCTAGCTAGCAATGCTAAGCAAGATATCTATCTGTCTATCCATCTTTTTTTGTTTGTTTCTTGTTTGTTTCCTTCTGTGGTTTGTGCCTATTACCTCTAAAAGACCCCTCTTTCTTGTTAGCACAGCTCTTCTGCCAATGAAGCAGTGTGTGCTACTTTGACACTTCAACAGATTAACAATACTGTAAAAAGGAATATTTGTTTAGAAGATTGAGTATAGGGCTCCAGAGGAGAGAGAAACTTACGTCCACTGCCTAGCACAGAGACTGCTTTAATTCAGCTAGCATTTGTGTTTTTTTTAAAAAATTAATTTTCTTTCCACCTGAGAAGGGATGTTGATGGTTTTGATTTTCTAGTGTAATTTTAACTGTAAGTTTTGAGTTTAGAGACACTGGAAACAACTTGTCATATTTGAATCCTTTAGCAAGGGAAGAGCTGAAGTTTTTTGGTGATAAGTGCAAAGTGTAAATCAAATTTGTGTGTGTGTATGCACAGGCAGAAGTCTACAGAAATTCAAGAACCCAAATTTAGTTGCATGCAGCCAAGAGAGCAGCATGTTTGGGTTTTCTCTTTATTCCTGCTAACCTTTATAATAAGTACAAGATTGCCACATCTCACAGTTCAGTGAGTTAGACCTTGACTGACAGTTATTCAAATCCTCCCTGGTGCTGCAGGCAGTTTCTTTCACCAGCTTTAGTTAAAAGCTTGTTTATGAGCTCAACTTTTGATCCTGCTGACTCACTTTATCAGTTTCTTCTGATAAAGAAAGAAGAAACTGATATCTGTTATCTTTTGAGGAATTTTTATCTGTGGGTCTTGTTTGAATCTGACTTTGACTGATCAAGTTTGGTAAGACACATTATAAACATCATTTATGTTTGCCTATTCAGAAACATTCTCCAGCCTGTGGTACCAGTAAATATTGTAGAACAAACTGAAGGCTTTTACATATTATTCTTCTTTGTATGTGTTCACAGAAATGCAGTGAAATCATTGTTGCTCACCTTGGCTACTTGAACTACACTCAGTACAACATATTCGTTAGCTTTGAAGATCTAAATAAATTAACATACGCCAAGAATATCACTTTCACAGTAAGTATAACGTTTCATACTAGCAAAAGAGATCTCTAATTACTGATGGTATAAAAGCGTGCTTTAACTGTAATAAAAAGTTACCACATTTCATTGTAATGAAGCTTTTTGTCACTACTAATTTCAGAACTATTTTACCGTTTGCTGTTAATAATGTTCTAATCCAATATTTTTCTTTATAAAGAAACATTTTCCTTCCAGAACTCTAGTGCTGTTTTCTGGGATGGATAATTTTAGTGTAATTCCTGGGAAATATTTAACAGTAGGCAGGCTAGACTAGAAATTCCAGTTTTCTGCAGTTCCTTACGGGGATGTTGCCTCTCTACAGCATGGTATCTTTTTCAGTCTTTTCCAGTAGTTGTATCTGAATCAACAAGATTTTTCCAGACTTTTTCTAGGGCCAGAAAGATTTAACAGACTCAAATTGAGAAGTTTTTTTTGTCTCTGCTTAAGAGGAAGAGAAAAATGTTTATTTAGCTAAAATAAGCAGGCAATCCCTAGCAGAACGTCTAGCTCAGTTCATAGTGGTAAAGGTTGCTTGTGAAATGAAACAGTGAAAATCACCAGTGTGTGTTGAGTGACTCGAAAAAGTTTAGAAACATTTGCATTAGGAGATAACTAAACTAAACTGAACTTACTGTACAGGTTATTGTCTTGTATTCTACCTGCATATAATGTTGTGTGGGTCAGAGTAGGCAGGCAGCAAGCAAAAGTATGTAAATACTGTAATGCACTTGTGTTTTTTATATACTAAATGAGCTTCCTGAATATTGATATTTGAAATACTCCAATTTGTAAAGTGCATCATTAAAAATAAGCTGAGGGTTGAAAGCAATCTCACAAGCTTCTTTGCTTTGCTCCAGATTCAAGCAGGATGAAATGTGGGAGCATTTATAGTTGTATGGTTTATCATCTTGCTTTGCAGGCTTCCTTTAATGTAGACCTGTACACAAAACCAAAAACCTAATTCAAAAGCTCTGCTTTCCCACAGCAAGAAAAATTTCCGATTTATTTCATTAGTACAGTTGAAATCAATGGGATTACGTTGATCCCAGTTGAAATAATTGATTTCCTTTTGTATATCAGCATTCTTCACATCAAATTTTCATTTTGCATTTGCAATTTAAAAAGACAAGACAGAGGCTGACAGATTAAATCAATTGAAAGGTAAAGCTTCTTGTCCTGATGGGCAGGGCATGTGCGTTACAGAAGTGGTTTCAAAAGAGAAGCATGCCAGGTATAACATAATCTGTCAACAGAACAGAGCTTATGCAGACTGACATGTTATAATTAATATCTCTACCTCAGAATAATTAGAGGACTAAAGGAGCTTTTGCTGTTTAACCTGTGCAAAAGTTCTTCATTTCTGGTTAGCTCATTTAATCTTCCCTTACTTAAATCTTCCTGTTTCACTGAAAATAGAGTGAGCTTTAAGAACACAGACTCATTACAGGAAGTACAACTGCACCTTATCATCATCTTCATAATCAGTTTATGCATTTGACCTTGGTAATAAAGAAAAACACACTAGATTTATTCAATTATTGAAGTTCAAACTTCGAATATGAAACAGAAGTCAATAAAGAACATCCTTTTTGATCTGAGAAGTGGATTAAGATATGACAGCACAAGGAGTATGTTACAAAGTGGCTGGGTAAAAGAGAAGCAAAGATGCTAGGCTGCTTTGGTTACCTTGGTTATCGTTTCACTGGTTAGTCGTCCCCCCCTTTTTTTTTTCCATCTTATTCAGAGAAATCTTTAACTTGGAAGAAAATTGGTATGAATTTTTCTTTGTCTTTCCATAGTGATTTGGTGGAATTTGGTTATACCTTCAAATTTTGGAAAGCCAAAAGACTTTTCAGTAACTGTGAAGAGCGTTAATTATTGATGTTATGTGAAAATGTTAAATTTTTTTTCTTCTGTTTTCTTGTAGTGGAAGACCTACAATCCAACTTTTTCACAAGTAGAAATCTGGTTCCGATTTGTTTTTGTAGTTCTTACTTTTATGGTCACGGTAAGATTTTCTTCCAGTTATTTTGGAGAACATTATGTAGGCAGCTGGTAAATGCTGCACTGTAGTGCTGTGTTCAGTAACTTAGCCCCAGGCAGTATAGTTGAGATACTGCTGAAGGGGTGTTAAAAATGTTTCTAAAATACTTACTTAGTTGCTGCTTCTATGGTTTTGTAAGTGGCATTGAAGGGGCATGAAGAAAATAGAATAAATGAGGAAAGCTTGTTTTTTTTTTTTTAGACTCTGATTTTAAAGTTGAGACAGAATTTTGTTAAAATAAATGAAATTCTGATTAGATGCTAGAAAAAAAGTATTTTTGGCAGTGCAGGTGGACTCGGACATTAGAATAGGATGCCCAGAGTGTGTGTTGGCTCACTGTCTTTGAAAATGGGCAAAACTCAGTTGAATATGACCTTATCACAGAATCATTAGGGTTGGAAAAGACTTCCTAGATCATCTGGAGGGCCTTCCTACCTCCAGCATATCGACACTTCCCCCCAACTTGGTGTCATCTGTGAACTTACTGAGGATGCACTCAATTCCCTGATCCAAGTCATCAATAAAGATATTAAAGAGGATGGGCCCCAACACCAACCCCTGGGAACACCGCCTGTGACCAGTCACCAGCTCCATTTAACTCCATAAACCTTCATCTAAATTCAGTTGTCACTGCCTTGAGTGGGAGAGTGGACCAGAGACCTGCAGAGGTCCATTACAAACCTAAATTACACTGCGCTTTAGATTGTTCATCTTCTCCCAGTTTTGCCTCTGGAATAGATGTGTTTTGGGGAAAATAAACAACATAGGCAACTAAAATGCAGAATTTTCATACCAGGGTAGTATAGCACTTAATATGTACACAGCATTTCTTTCACATACGTGATGTCACTCACTGAGCAACTCTGAATGTTAGTGTAGTATCTGGATTTTTTTAATGAGTGAGTTTAATTAAGTGGAAGTTGTTCATAGTGTGTGACCAGTAACTAGTGGCTGGTTTCCTTTTCAGTTTGCCATAGAGTAATTTGCATTGGGGTAAGCCAGCAAAGTTGATGCAGAAGTAGAAGCTAGGAGATGTGCCTCTTCTTTTACTGTTAACAGTGTCAGACCTTGTGAAGTAGTGTTTGCAATGTGCTATAGTATCTATTTACTGTGATAAAACCATTAAGGCTGCTTTTCTCCCATGTAAGATTGTGGGGTTTTGTTTGTTTTATAGTGTCTGTTTGCACATTCTCTACGAAAATTCTCCATGAGAGACTGGGGTATTGAACAGAAATGGATGTCCATCCTCCTTCCTCTCCTCCTCCTTTACAACGGTAGTTGTGTCCTGGAATTTTTATAAAAGCTCTTTAAAAAAAAATAATAAAAAGAAAGACAGACAAGGCCTTGATCTTGCAAGGAGCTGTTTATAGAGCTTCTGAAAGCTCACTTATAAAAAGCAACCCTTTCTAAGTGTATCAAATTTAAGGGTGTAATCAATAGGTAGATTTCATTATTTTCATTCCTGTGAATGTAAAACTGATTGGAATAGAAGGCTGCAACCATAACGAACCTTTCATATGTAAGTGCAGTTTCTGTATTTGCCTGATAAGCCTCACTTCTTTATTCTTAAGATATGCATACTTTATTTAAAAGTGGAAGTTGCTTTTGGTCTTGTAAAGTACATCAAATTCTAGGATTTCTATCAGTACCAAAGAATACTGATGCCTTTCAGTCATTCTGTGGTAATTTTTAGTTTATCACCAAGAATCAGTGGTTTAGCAGAAGGTCTTATAAAACATGAAATCTTCTAGAAATGTTGGCAACTATTTTAGACTAGTTTTACAGTATAGAATATTGCTGCTGGACGCACCATTTCCTTTGCAAATTACTTTAAAATACAGCAGACTTCAACTTCATTTACTGGTGTAATTTGTAAAATCTGTGGTTTTTGTATCTTCTCTTTCCTACGAAGATGAATTCTACTTTTCATAATAAAAAGTGTGTGCTTTTTCACTTCTGTTTATCCTTTTTTTTCTTACTTTATTACAGATCCGTTTTTCCCCCTTTCTTTTCTGGTAAACAGTTGGTTTCCTGGAATGCTGGATGATCTATTCCAGTCGCTGTTTCTGTGCGCATTGTTGTTGTTCTGGCTTTGTGTCTACCATGGCATAAGAGTACAGGTAGGGGTGCAACGGTATCTAGTAATTACTGGGAAGACAGTACTGGTTTGTTCAGTTCTCTCAAAAAGTGACCAATGTAAAACCAATTTTAAGGAAAAAAAGTGGCATTCCAATGGTAAAGTACCATGTGACAAACAATTAAAATGGTTTGAGGTGAAATAGCTTGTTGTCAGACAATTGCACCTAAATGAGATAGTTGGGACAGTCCACCCCAAACTATTGCAAGCCTGCCTTTGAAGTTGTTATACCATTATGCTTTGCTCTTGTTTGAAGGTTACTGTTGTTGGTGGTGGCAGTTGGTTTTGTTGTTACTGTTTTTAAAAATGACTTTAAGATACTACATAAGAGAAATATTAATTCTAGAGCATATTCCTCTAGTTTCAATATCACTAAAATATGTGGGACCTTATGAATGGGATGTCCCGAATCTCCTGTATTTTGCTTTTAACACAAGTGATTATACAGCCTTTTGTATTCTGCACTTAACCGTGCAGGTTAAAAGTACTGAACATGGATTTCTTAATCTAGTTCTAATCTTGAATGAAACAAAAAAATGGTTATTTATTCTGTCAAGAATGAATCAAATCTGAAGTATGAGTTCACACTTTGACTATGCTATTGTTTTATTAATAGGGAGAAAGGAAGTGCTTAACTTTCTATCTGCCCAAATTCTTTATCGTTGGACTCTTGTGGCTCGCCTCTGTTACATTAGGAATATGGCAAACGTAAGTAAGTTAGAATTTGGTGCAAAAGTAATGAACTGAAATTATTCAGTTCATTAGAAGATTGTTTATAATTAATGATATATGTTTCTTAATACTTTGTGGTAGAGGAGTAGAGTACAAATTCTTATTTTCTATTTCGCAAAATGTGACTGATTTGAAAAGAGAAGTCTTCATGGACAATCTAGAAATACATAGTTTTATAAATTACAGCAAGAGCTAGAGATCACTACTTTGACACTAGGTTATGGTTCCCTACAACACACCCTCACAGTTAGCTTTTAGTATTTGAAGCAACAGTTTCTCTGCAGTTAACTACTGCAGTTTGACAAAACTTTCTTAACAATTCAACCTGCACAATTGCTATTGACAGAGCATAGCCAGATCCTCCTAAAAACTGACTTCTTTTGCCACATTCAGTGTTTCTCTTCTCTTTCTCTGCTTCACTCACGAAATATTGTCAATATTCCCCATGCAGAAAAATTTCTCAGGTTTGGAACCATTTTACTCTGAAGTGTTTGCCTACTATTTTATTTCTCAATGTATATATAAAGCCTTTTCCATACCATTGTGTGTTGTGTACAATGAAAGCAGTGCAATTGCAGGGAATGCTGGTACTAATGTCCTGTCAGCAGAATTTGTATGAATTAAAGGCTTAAACAGCAGTTATTTCTTAGGTATGGTTCTTATCACCAAGGGTAAAATTGAAACGCTAAATCCTGAAGGCTTCTGGAAATTTACAAGATAATGCATTTTCTAAAAAATAGGTAGAAAAATAAATCATCTACTTTGAAAAGACTCTTAAGATACTAAAGTTCAACTGTCAGCTTGACCTACTGAGTCCCATCAGTAAACCACATTCCACATCCGCACATCTCTTAAATATCACCAGGGAGGAGGACTCCACCACTTCCCTGCGCAGCCCATTCCAGTGCTTTACAACCTTCTCTGTGAAGAAATTCTTCCTAATGTCCAATCTAAACCTCTCCTGGTGCAAGCAGAGGCCATTGTCTCACATCATACCACTTGTCAACTGAGAAAAGAGACTGCTACCCTCCTCACTGCAGCCTCCTTTCAAGTAGTTGTAGAGAGTGATGAGGTCTCCTCTCAGCCTCCTCTTCTCCAGACTAAACAACTCCAATGCCCTCGCTTGCTCCTTGTAGTCCCTTCACCAGCTTAGTTGCTGTTTGCATGAGTGGGGAGACTAGACATGCTGATTACTGAAATCTTCCATTTCCTCTGCAAATTGAGGTTTAGAAAGGAGGAGAATGTCATGTACTGTATGCTGTCATTAGAATCAATGGCGTTGCACCAATTTATACAGCCAAGGTCTTTAGTTATAAGCTTCTTATAGTAACTTTAAACCCTTTCTTTGTTAGTGCATTTTTTAAAACCTTGTTTTTTGTAATGATGTAACAACTATTTTTTTTTCATTTTGAATCTTTTATAGCGTCAATGAAGTTCGTGATCCTACATACCAATACAGGGTTGACACAGGTAACTTCCAGGTAAGTCAGAAATGTTACCTTGCTTTTAAATTGTCAAATGTAGTTAGACAAAATGAAGAGGGGTTTGCTCTTCTGTAGTAATCTATACCACAGTTTAGAAAATATGACATGCTGGTCAGGTGGTCTAACTTTGACTAGTGTACTTTACATTTTTCTTCAGATCATGCACAGGCCATAGTGAGCTCCATCCCATACGAGAAACGTAATTGTCTTGCAATAACCTTGGGCGTCTGGAAACTCAACACCAGAAGTGTAGTCATGGACTTAAAACTGTTGGGACTGAAAGACAGTTTTTTTAAGCCTCTTATTAAGTCAGCTTTGTATATCTTGACTCCTGCCAAAATCCTCTGTCCTAGTAAATTTCAGAATTCCTTGTTGTAGGGCAAGATGTAATTTACATGGTTTCTTGTATCAGTTTTAGATAATCCTTGAGATTCAGCTCTCAATTAATTCAGTGAACAAAATTACCTCTTCTATTAAACATCCTTTCTTTATGTTCCTCAAGAACCTACATTTGCATATAGCCATCCTTTCATGAGTATACTTTCCCTGAAGAAATGCACCATTCCATGTTGTGCTTTAGAAAATGATTTCTATTTGTAGGATATAAAGGAAGAAAGGAGGAATAGACCAAACCTTGTTAAATAATAAAAACTAATATTCTTTTTATAGGGAATGAAAATCTTCTTCCTTGTGGTGGCAACCACATACATTCTTTACCTTTTGTTCCTGATAGTGAGGGCATGTTCAGAACTTCGTAACATGCCTTATGTTGGTAAGTATTTTTGGGGTTCTTCACTAAGCAGTCTGTTGTCTTCTACACAAAGGTCTAAATTCTCTAATAACTTTTCTCAATCTTTTTCAGATCTCAGGTTAAAATTCTTGACTGCATTAACCTTCATAGTGCTTGTCATTAGGTAAGGCATTTCAGAGTACATTTCTTAATACTCTAACTTTCAAAGCCCTGAAAAGAATGTTATAAATATATTTTTTTTATAATAAAAATCTTCAGTGAAACTGAGACATGTCATTTTGATATGACAGCTGTGTTTAGCACTTCTTAATTTTTCTTAATTTTTGAACCCTTTATTTAGGTTCTTAAAGTTAGCTTTATATTATTTCCACTACCACCATAAGGAGTACAAAGGAGCAATGGTTTTAAACTAAAAAACAGTAGATTTAGATCAGATAGTCAGAAGCAGTTCTTTCCCATGAGGGTGGTGAGGCCCTGGCACAGGCTGCCCAGAGAAGCTGTGGATGCCCCATCCCTGGAGGTGCTCAAGGCCAGGCTGGATGGGGCTTTGGGCAGCCTGGCCTGGTGGGAGGTATCCCTGCCCATGGCAGGAGGATTGGAACTACGTGATGTTTAAGGTCCCTTCCAACCCAAACTGTTCTATGACTCTGATATACTGTTCTATTAAGCTACCATTTCAATTTTGAAGTTTAAAGGCATAGTATATATGCTCTCACTATTTTTCCCCCCACAGCATTGTTATACTCTATCTGCGCTTTGGAGCACAAGTTCTACAGGACAACTTTGTTGCTGAGCTATCAACTCATTATCAGAATTATATCCTTCTGTTGTGATGCTGCTCAACTAGGAGCATTAATCTGGTTTTATTTAGAAGGTACTTAAAGATGATGTACCTAAGGACTGAGTCCTTTGCCTTCTAGGTGGACTTTTGATAATTGATTTTGATCGAGGTTTCTTGTCATCATTTTCTAATGGCTATTTGTAAAGATTATAAGCTGAGTTTCAGTTTAATTTGTTTCCATCAAATAAGCCACAACTGCGTTTGATACTCTTCAAAAGGAATGAAGGCCCATATATGCATGCATTCAAATAATTTTAACAATTTATTGTGAAAAAATTGACTATTTTCTGCTTGAATTCAACCTATCAGTTGGTGTGGGGTGTACCAAAATACCTGAGAAATTAACAGTTTAGAAGTCACCAAAAATGTGTTTGTATACTGGTGCAATCTACATGTGGAAGAGGTCATATCAGAGAATTTAACTGGCTTGAGAGAGACTATTTCTGATGTCTGTTGGCAGTAGAATTACAAAGGATATTTCTGAATCTGAACCATAAAATCCTAGTTCATTGTACTTTCTGAAAGTGTCTGTGTGACTGCAACTGATCCTGTTACTGATAAGCTTTAGATATGCATTGGGTGCTAGTAGAGATCAGTGAGCAAAGCCTCTAGTATATTCTCAAAGTGAAGGCAGAGCCCACCTTGAGTTCTGTCTGTACACAGTCCTTCTTCCTTGTCAACTGATATGCCCACAAGAACTCCATTTTCAAAATAATAATAAAAAAGCACCTCACACCCAATTACTGAACTCCCTGAACTCAGCTTTCTTTTAGTAGTGAAAACTGAACTATTCAATTATACCATGCATTCCACTAAAGAGTAGGCCTTATCTCTGCTAATTTTACTTGTGTTAAAACGAAAGATTTTATCTTCAGTTAGAGCTATACCTAGAAAGAGCTTGAGTACACTAATTGTCATTAAATAAAAAACAAATAAAATGCAGTTGTGTTTAGTCAGTCGTACTCTCAAACGTTAGTACGATAAACATCCTTTCCATTGAAGCAATTTACATATGTTTTGTATCTTGTTTCCAAAGTTAATGTGTATGGAGTTACATTGAGTAGAATCCTTGACACTTAGTACCAGCAGAATTCTTATCATTTTATGGTTTATTGAACTTCTATCTCTACACATTAGCCTTCGTGTATTCCCCCTCAAAGAATGCACTATATGGTGAGTGTAAGCAACTGTTTGTTAAACTTACATGACAAGATCTAGCATATTAGTTTGTACTGTGTGATATCCGTATCTTTTTCTTGCCTCATTACTGTTTCAGTTTGCTTTGGATTGACATAAGCAGAGGCTGCACTGCTCCTGGGCAATTTAGTATTGGGAATATGAAGGAATACTAAAATCTATACAATTAATAAACTGAATTGAATTCTCTTGCTCTTCTCTGATGAAGTTTATCGTCAGTATGTTTGCATATAATGCTCAAACTTGTAACTGACTCGTGGACAGCTCTGAAAGAGCAAGAATACTTCACTCATACTTCATTGTAATAATAAAGTTAATATACTGATATGCTGACGAACTTGACTGAAATATGAAAAACAGGGTGATGGAAAAGTAGGACTTAAGCTGATCTATAATGTGGGGGCAACTAGGAGGAATGTGCTGTGGAGAGAGGGTTGTACAGCCCCCGTTTAAAGGGAAGTAAATGATTTAAACCTGTAGTGCTTTTTTTCCCCCTCCCCTAAGTAGAAGATGTAATCTGATTCACATGACGATTATGAAGCATTATTCCTCTCTAACAGATAAAGATTCTGTAAAATAAATATTCATACTGAGTGCATTCTCTGCTTTAAGCAAGCACTGAGTTTAAAATATACTGGGAAGTATGATGAGAGACTGTGGAGCTGGTGCTTTCTCCTTTCTCTAAACTTTTTAGACTTGAGATGAATTAAACTGTTACGTAAAGATGCTCTTTTTTCTGTTAAAGACAAGACAAACGGTTGGGTGAGGATAAAGGGTTGCAAGAAGCATTAACCTACAGAAGTTATGAAGTAAAAACCTTCCAGGAAAAAGATGTTCTTGACAAGTTGATGGATTGAATTTTACTTGCATGTAATTACAAACAACAGCTAAGGAGAAACACATTATACAAGAAACTGTGGTCTTGAAAGAGGGCAGAGGGATTTGTCATAAATAGCTAATGGAAAGTATGTGCTTCCTTTTATCTCACAATAAGTCCTTCCTTCATCTGTTGCAAGGATGAAAAATAACTGGCTAGTCATTGACTTACGTACAGGGGATTACAACTTTGGTCTACTGTCTTTATCACTTAGAATGAACAAGTTCATGAAGACTATGATTTTTAAATAAGTATGAACTTTTGAATAATCGGAACAATGAAGTATGACTTAATTATATGCAAGTTGAACTAATACGACATGAAACTGCAGAACAGAGGAAATCTGCTTATGCAACACAGAGAATTATCTATCTAAAAATACAAAGCGAGAGTTATTTCATTTCCTTAAATCTTAAGAACATCATGATGTTGTGGGCTGAATGGTTAAGAATTTACAGGAAAGAATTCTGTGATAGTTCTGTTGCATTGTAGTCATGACTGCCTTTGAAGCTGAGTCTGTTGCTTCAGTGTTAGATGAGAAGTGCAGCTGTGTTTCTACGTTTAATGTGTTAAATTAACCCTTATTTGTATTTTCCAGAATCACAGTTGAAAGACAATCCTGCTTTTTCTATGTTGAACGATTCAGATGATGATGTGATTTATGGGTAAGATTATAGAATACCTGTAGAGAGGATTTTTTTTTTGCATGTTATTTTTGTAGTGTTCTTTTCCATATTTGTTAAATAATTGAAGGCTTCGTAGGTTGTTAGTGAAAATAAGCTGCCTAAAGAACAGAAACAGCCTTATTCTGAAACAGAGATGCAATGAGGATGTGTGTTATTTTGGTTTTTCTTTTTTGGTTTCTCAAAGGGATTGCCATGGCACTGATACAAACAGGTAAGTATTAGGATGCTGGTAGGTCATGGGGTGAAGGCAGCAAGAGATGTGAATGGGAAGGAATTCCTTTCAAGTTGGGAAAGATTACAGGAGTCAGGTAGAGTTAGCAAAGGGTCAGCTCATACAGAAATGCTGCAGAGGATAAAAGCTCGCTCTTCTTAACTGTCTATCACTCTCTGAAATAAAAATAACCTGGTCTAGCAAAACTTCCTGGACTTGTGTGAGTTTATGTAATATCAAAAATATAGTATCCCTTAAAAACCCATCCAGGTCATGCCTGCCTTTGCTAGATGCTGAACAAATTCATTATCTGCCCTTGATGTTTTCACCTTTTACCAAGGACACTGAAGTGGCTCAACAGTGAAGATGGGTTAATACTGCAGAAAGCTGGAGAGAGACTCCGTCAGGGAGTGTAGTGATAGGACAAGGAGTAAAATGAGAAAAGGCTAGATCTAGAGTAGATATAAGAAAGAAATTAATTACTCAGAGGGTGGTGAGGCCCTGGCACAGGCTACCCAGAGAAGCTGTGGGTGCCCCATCTCTGGAGGTGCTCAAGGCCAGGCTGGATGGGGCTTTGGGCAGCCTGGCCTGGTGGGAGGTGTTCCTGTCCATGGCAGGGGGTTGGAGCTAGGTGGTCCTTAAGGCCCCTTCCAACCCAAAGCATTTTGTGATTCCAACTTGAACAAGCTTGTGCTAGAACAACTAGCATTGTCTGAGATGGCTTGCCTTTGCTTAGTTAGATGGTGTTAGTACCAGCCCGCGTCTGCACTCTGGTCTGTGTCAGTAGTGGCTTGTAGCTGCTGGGATACATTTTGTTATATACCAGTCCCTGGAGAGAAGTCATATATTTTTCATATACCCAACAAGGAAGCAAAACAAACTTTTTACTCAAGTAACAGTTTAATGCTTCAGTGCTTTTTCGAACTTCCTTGTTTAGCTTAGATTTAACAAAACTTCAGAACATGGTGATCAGTTAAAAAAAATGAATAAAAAATCTGTTTCACAGGAGTGACTATGAAGAAATGCCACTTCAGAATGGCCAAGCTATTAGAGCCAAATATAAAGAGGAATCGGACAGTGATTGATTTTGATGTCAAGAGACTTGTTCAGCTGGAATTAAAGCAATTATGAAGTTTTCCTAGAAGGACCACTTCCTTGGCTTTCCTACAGTCTGCTGTTATCCAAATCCTGGGAAGGACATCTTGTTTCTGTTTACAAAGTTAAAACTGGGAAAAAAAAATGCTTGAGAAGGTTGTGGTGGAAATTTAGGAAACCAAAATTTATACACATCTTATAAAATGTCTGACGGCAGGATGTCTGTGGACTAAAATCATTGAGTCTAATTCAATTTCAAGTTGTCATTGATTGTATACTGATTTTAAAATTGCTTCTTTGCTGCTTGGTGTTTTTCTTCCCCCCTTGGGATTATGTGGAACAAAATGTCTTTAATCTCTTGCATTTTGCTAGCTCCTTTGTATATTGTCCTCTGCTGTATGAAGTGCCTCTTTTCCCTTTCAATTTTGTACCTTAGTCATTGCCATTTGAACTGGAGGCAGGGAATGATGTGCTTTAGGTTTCTCTCTCCACCCCCCCCCCCTTTTTTTTTTTTTTTTTTTTTTTTTAAAGAAATGCAGGAAAACACAGGCTTTCCATTCCTTCTAACAGGTGGTGTAGACTTAAAACCATTCTTTTAACTCATTTAACTGGATTTACTAGGTATGTTCTATGTGTGAGATACATGCAAGTAGTCAAGTTCTGGTGAGCCAAAATCGTCTGTGGTCCAAAATTATTTGTATAACATAGGTTTCATAACATGCTTTATCACCACAGCAAAGCTGTTTTGTTAGTTCTGTTTTGTTTTTAAACAGCCCTCTCAAATGAAAATATTTGGGCAGCAACAAATCTCAGAAGGAAGCCAGTACTTTTTTTTTTGTTTTTTTTATGATTGTGTGCTGGAGGAGATTGTTACACTTACAAGAATATGGTACAGAGTTTCATAGTGAAGTACAATTTCATATTTCCAAACATTTCATTTTTAGAGGCTTTTTCTACATCAGAATTGTTCATGAAGTTGTATTAATAGGCAGTTACCTGCTTGGCTGCTCATGTACTGAACTTGTGTAACAGCTGAGCATGCTCTGTGCATAAACTTCTCTCTCACAGCACAGCTGCCACCCCTACTGCCTGAAATTTTTACGAATACATTTTACGATGATCTGTATTCCAGTCTGTGCTGGAAGAATTATACGGGAATTCATTATTCCTAGTACAATGCTGCTGCTTCTCAGTTTCAAAGCTGTTTTTATCCTCCCACACTACTGTTCGGCTCTGTATTTAAGCGGATGCTATTTGTTTCTAACTACTTCTGTGTTCTCAAGTACTTGACCTGTCTGAAAGTCTTTTTTTTTTTTTTTTTTTTTTTTCCTTTTTTAATGGATTCACAACTACAACTTACTCTTGTAGAATCTCTCTGCCCTGCTGCTGTAGAAGACAGTAAGAAGTACTGTTAATATGTTAGGCACAAAATGATGCTGGCTTATACTAGTAAATCATACTTATGATTGAACTAGTTTAAGCTGAACGGTGCAATGAAGTCCTGCTAGACTTGCTGAATTATACTGCGGGGGGAAAGTAGACTTGTTCTGCTTTTGTGCAATGGTTTTAGGCCATTGCAACTGCAGTAACCTCCTTGTAGCTGTTCGGGAGCGTTAAAGGGATACCTCACAGGGAGCAATTTGCTTACAGAAGACCAAAGGAACTGCTTTATGTGGTTGCATCCTTGCTGTCATAAGAATAGTTCAGATTAAGTCAGTGATCTGTTAAAGACAAGTACGGTAAGATTGTGCATGCGTGTGTGTGGAAGCAGTGCAGACCTCTGAATTCTTGGAGGATATTTGGAATTTCAAACTTACTGTAACAGAGATAATTTGTTAGAAGCCAAAGCGCCATTATACAATAATGCTAAAACAAAGAGAATGCTGGGGTGGGGGTAAATGTCTTGATTAATTGGCATCAGTTTAGAACATACAGGAAAACCATTACAGAGGTATGCAAGTTTGTGGGGGTTTTGTCAGTGAACTGTACTAAGCTGTACCTTCAGCATTTATTTTCAGATTTTTTTTAACAAGTATAGGGGTTGACCTCTTATTCTACAGGAGATACCGTTCTCGTTTTATTATTCCCTAGATGATTTTTCTTGGTGCATGTGTGTTTGAATTTGCAGTCAGACTCTGAAGCCAGCTAGACACTGTTTGTGTATCCCAAGCCCTTCTGACTTCCATTGAAGTGAGTACAGCAATTAGGTCTTCAAAAATTCAGATTTACGTGATCCTTATGTATTCAAATCTCTCTCATGTTGTTTAATTCTCTTCTGTGCTGTTTTGAATTGATAAAATACTTGATTTGACAAGTGTGCAAAGTATACTGCTTCTTATGACAGTTGGAGTTGGTTGTTACACTTGACCCTGAAATAGTGTCATGCTTTGTGAACTCATTAATGAAAAACATGTCTGATCTAACTGTGAAATAATGATTTCCAAAGCTGTTTTCAGCCCATTTTACTTGCCATTTTGTCTACCCTCACTTTTCTACATGACTGCATTAAAAATGAAAACAGGAGAGCTGAGATAGGGAAATGTGCACTTCAAGTAAGTATCTCACCAAAAATAATTTCCTTGCTAATTTTTTTTAGAGATTATATTTGAGCAACGTTTGCCATACAAAATAGTTTTGTATTTTAGATGTGCTAGAGTGCAATGGGAAGGTTGGTTGAAGAACTGTCATATCAAATTCAATGCATAGTGAAAAAGCAAAAGCAGTGAAGCAGGTAGTTCGGCTAGCAAGAAATGTTGATTTCACTGCCCTTATCAGTGAACAATTGGAAAGCAGAGACAGTATCTGAGGAATATTACAGAATGGATTGCCAATAGCTTCGGAGTAGGTGGCATAAATTCACTGCTGAGTAGTATGTTGTAACCTAAGGGTAAAACAGAGGCGATCTGGATAAGAAACTAATTTGGCTTTCCTTTAGCTACAGTTAAAGGAATTCAGTATCATCTCCAGCCCTCCTGGAGCTGTGTAAAATGAGAAAAGTATACAAACAGGCCTCACAGCGCATAGAGGTACTGCCCTACAGGAGTTGCTTTCTATTAAATAACTGCAAGACTTCATGTACATTGTGCTCAAGACAGACTCTTAAGAAAGCGGTTATAATTGAGCATGAACCCATTAATGGCAGTGGTTTTATGTACATGTAGTATGTGCTTTAAAAATGCAGTTGGAATTCCTAGGGCTGGCGAAGAATAAGAAGGAAGCATAGAGCTCCATGCAGTAAGGAAGAGCTAGTCCACCAGACCTGCAGAACTAATATGGGGGAGAAATTGAAAGGTGTTTCCAGCTAGAAAAGGTTTTGATCGGTTATCTCTGAGCCAAAACACAACCTTGAATCCATAACCACCTAGTTTTTGCCCATTTTTTTTTTTGCTTATGCCAGTAATAACCTTTGTGTTACTGTAAAAATTTTAGAGGTTTGTAAATATGTAAAATTAAGATAAAATATGGAATATTTGTGTACCAAAATGGTATAAAATGTGTAAGATAAATGCTCTGTTTAATGAGAAGCTGTAAATTAAATGCTGCTTTGAAAAAGTGTGCATGGGGACGTGTTAAATATTCTGTCTAGAAATTGTGTTAATGATAGCAAATTGTCCATTATGTTGGAAAATGTCATCCTAGTATGGAATATGAAGCAAAACTAGTATTTCAAGCAAAAGTTGAGTACTGGGTTTCTTGAAGACTTCATGTGCATAAGCATTGTTAAATACTCAGAATAAAGTTTTATATCTTTATATCGTATCTTGGTTTTATTTCCCTTCTCGTGAATGACTACCACTTACATTTTTACTTCGAGTATTTTCTTATCCAAGTAACCCAGTTTGAACATACATAGGGTTTGAATCTAGGAGGCTGTGTCAGCACAGAGTCACCAGAGAATTGGGGTGGGTGAGTGTTTTTTATTGCCTGGGCCTGAAGAGGGAAGGACTGCTTGCTACTATTCCCAAGAAACATGCTAGCCAGCTTACGAAGGGGAACTGGAACTCTTAAAAAATTCCAGAAGGGTTAAGTTCAAACAAGTCACACCAACGGTTATGAATTTCAATAATTTAATGCTAACCAAGAGTACAAAGTGTGAAAGTCAGTGTCTTATTTATATTGGTCTTAAAAAAGAAATCTAGAGAAAGTGTTTACACTGCAGCAGATTTCAGATTTAGCACCTTAAAGAGAAGTTCTTGAAGTGTTAAGACAGCGTGGCGACACTGGTACGATACCAAGTAAAAACATAAACCATGTAACAGCATGTTTTCACATTTGAAAAAAGTTACGTAAAAAGTATATTAAAACCAGAAGTTGTTCAGTGCATTCACAGTTTGAGCTGAGATGGAATCAAGTGCTGGAGTAGAAAAGAGTTGAAGGATGACCGATTCCAAGGCAATCATATTGCAAGTCCGAAGGCACTGACAATACAGTACATGGTCTTATTCTCCCATCTCACAGTACAAGTTCCTACAAAGACAAAAAAAAGTTTCAGAGACGGGAGAAACTTACAGTGATTAATATGAAAATGCATGCTCTTGTATACAGATTTGTTTAAGAATCTCAAGAATGTAGCTTGCACAACAGCAAAGCATTACATGTATTAGGAGAGTTAGCATCACAGCCACATGGAAAAAAGGCCACGCTGTATGCTACTGCTCCAGAACAATAGCACTCAGAAAACTGACACGGCCTAGTCTCCAGGGGACTGGCGTTAACGTTGCAAGTTGAAGCATCCAACAGTTTCGCTCCTTACCATCACTGGAGTTGTCCCAGAAGCAAGAGCTCGCTGTATGTAGCCCAGCACCATTCTTTTGCATAATCACACAGGTCACTGTTTGTCAGCAGAGAAGCTTTTATTAGTTTATTGTTATCATCAGTTACCATCTAGCTACATTTATGCTTAGCACAGTACATACGTGCTTATGAGTAGTTAATAGCCGTGGTTCTAGCTAAGCAGCTTTGTTGTGGTTAAATTCTTAGCTGTCTACCCGCTTAAACAGAAAACAAAGTAGAGCTCACCGATATACTTGAAGGGTTTCCCCAGCTTCGTGAGTTGGCTTAGAGTTTGTTCCACCACACTTGTTGTCCACTGGTTCACTTTGCTGTGCTGGTAGGCATTGCCACCAATGGCACTTTCTATGGCCTGTTGGTGACAAACACAAAATAAGCCCCGTTGTTGTCACTCCACGAGAATCCCGTGAATACTGATCCCGTGAATCCCCATCTGAATACTGAGGATGAGACACGGTACTCGTAGAAAATATCCTAAATACTACTTGTCCGTACAGATTGCTGGAACTGTTTTCAAATGTTACAGATCTTGTAATTCAGAGTTTGAGCCAGGCACAGAAGGTACAACAATATATTCCTTCCTCTTTTCACTCGATTCTTCCTTTCTAATTCCTATCCTAATGTCCTGGAGCCAGACTTATGAAAAGGGTCTTGCATTTAAACAGTCCGGAAGAGACTGAAAAAAATGCACAGAATGATGGCCCATCCACACATATTCTGCTTTGGAAACGGACTTCAGATTTTTCAGCAATCATTTTTGGAAAACAAAATCAAAACAAAAAACCCATGTAATTACTGGCTACTAACAGAACAGAAGCCTTTTCAGCCCATTTTCGTAATGAGGAGAGTTCCCTTTTAAGGCACAAAAGCACATTAAAGTTGCAGATTTTTTCATGGATATATTTTTTCTTCCAGAAATTGTTTAAAAAATAACCACAAAATTATTTCAGATTCGGAAGGGACAGGAACAGGTATTAGAGCACACCTAGACAATTTACAGGAAGTCTGACCTTTTGGTTGTTTTGCAACATGTTAAAAAAAAGGTGCTTGTCTGCTCTAGGAGAGGAACTCTAGATGCAAAACCCAAACCTCTCTAGAAAATTTGTGGACAGGAAATTCAGGTTTTGTAACAACCAGAAGAGTTATTTCAAACAACTTGTTTCAGAGGAAAAGCATCTCAGAGGACCACAGTAACATGCATATGCAGACAGTTCATAGAGAACACAGGTTTTATGCTCCGGTAACATGCAATCTGTACAGGCTTTAGCATACAACAGCTGCCTAGAAGTAGGCATACACTGCAGAGAGGAGCAGGGGAAATTATTTTAATCATCTTCTGGGTTTGTAATATATATCACAACCACAGCTAGGTATCATTTCCACTTAAAGGGTGCACAGTGGTTAAATTAATCAACGATTACCTACACTTCCATAGTAACCTGCCTCTAACTAGTCACATACTAGTCACCAGATTTTGTTGAATGCTTTTTTAGCACACAGCATACCATCCTTTCACACCAAAGTGAGAATGTTACTTTACCTCCTTAATGATGTTACTGACTTCATCAACGACAAAGGAAGTCTACAAAGAAGCAAAATTGTAAATCATCAGTGAACGCATTCTTCCATTTACACAGTTCAAGCTTTGTAAAGAAAACAGACTTCAAGCTTAATTTATGCTTGATAGGTTGATTGCAAGTCAGATGATGCCTACTCTTCCTTTTTTACTCATAACTTAACCATACTTACCTGAATCCAGTCAAGCGAACATTCTTAACAAAACAATGGAAAGTAACAGATGAAGTAACGCCGGCTGGACTTCTAAGTCAAAGTTTTCCAATTTTAACTTAAAAGTACTTTAAAATAATATGTATAGCACTTCCATACACATATAAACCCATCTTACAATAAGCATTAATGCCTATGGTTCACTGACCGGGCTGCAGAGATAACCTCAGTGCACAGACACGGCTCACGGTTAAGTGAAACCCACATCTTCAGGGCAGTGATGTGGACAAAGCATCAATTCCCAGCTCAAGGAAAAGCTGTCACTACAATTTCAGCTGGGATATAAAGAAAACTGCTTCTTGAAAAGGGGGGGGAAATCTAGCTTCTGCATTTCCTACCACCTTCAGCATTCTCTCAGGCTTCAGGCAGCAGAGATGAAGCAAGGGGAAGTTGCACAGGGAAGGCCCCAGCATTTTACTGACCTTAAAACTGCTACCCGTTCTCCCGCATGGTTAGGATACCTTTCTGTTCTAGCCCCTCGGCTGCTATCATGCCCCGTGTTGGCTCTCACATGCTGGCAGCAGCACAGCCAGGCAGCCAGCCTCCTGCCCTGGTCACAACAGCACGGGGGCGCGGTGACACTGGGCACGGCAGCTCTCTGCCACAAAGTCCCGCTGACGCTCGTGCCTGCCCAGGCTTTTACTTCTGACTTCTCTTTTTTGACCAAGCTCTCGCTTGAAGGTCTTGCAGCTTCTCTAGCTGGCAATCACGAATAAAAGCACAATGAGAGTGTTCAGGGATGACACATCTATACCTACTCAGGCCTTGGTCAGATGGTGAACTCTCTAGACAGCTTCAGAGATGCTCGACTTCAGGAAGATGCAAGCAGCTGAGTGTTCTCCATGACAAAGGCAGCAACATGCCAAGGGAGAAGTGCAGGCAACGCCTTTTTAATAACTGTTCAGAGGCACTGACCTGCTAGCACACCTCAAAGCTTTCATATACTGCGTGGCAAATTTGCTTTTATTTTCAGCTTCTTGACTTTGATTTAATAATTTGCATTCGTTTTCACACTACTTAATTTTACAGGTGCTTGCACATTAAGGTGCACACCACTGTATTTACCCAAATAAGAGCTAGATTTATCACTGTATACTTTCCCACAGAGCAGAAACTGAGAACATGCATGCCAGACGCCGGCAGACATGCAGCACACTGCCAGGCCAGATGACAAGCTGTATGCATTTTTTCTCCATGAAGTCTAGAACTTTGCTCTGAAATGCCTGAGTAAGCAAACAAAATTCATCAAACTAAACTGAACTAAATTCAGACCACATTCTCAAGGGTATTTAGTTCTGGTTTTTGATTGAAAAAAGTGGGAAAGGGAGAGCCATAGATAAATTTCAGAATTTGGTTCAGGGGGCTCTGTTACTTCCCATAACCTCCCCCTGGTTTAGGATGAAAACATACATGGGATTAAATACGTGAGGCACTGAGCCCTGATACACAGCACTGCGATTTGTGTGTCGTGAATACGGTGCCAAACAATACAAGCGCTCCACCTTTTAACAAGACAATCCAAACATTTTTTTCTTTCAAAAATAAAGGGAAGAGCACAGAAGCTTGGTGATTTGAGCCACCCTCCAGCTCAGGGAAAGCGGGCTCCACGCTCCCAACGCCGTGTTTGGAAAGGGTGTTCCCGGGCAACAAGCGCCAACTGCAAGGCGGTTTTTTTTTTTCAGTAATCCTGAACACTTCTCTAAAAACAGGTATCACAATGATGTTCGAATTGTTAATTATCTCTTATTAACGCTGCTGCACGACACAGGCCAGGCCCACGGCTGCTTCGCTATCGCCCACCGCAGCGAGGCGAAGTGCCCCCTGCGGCAGCAGCACCCCCGGCACGGCACGGCCCCGGCTTTGTCTCAGCCTGCGCCACCGCCACCGGCAGGGCTGGCGCCTGCAGGCGCTCCACACCCCTCCATCCCCCCGGCACCCCGCACCGGGGCCGGAGCCAACCCCCCGGGGCCGTTACCTCGTCCCCCGCCTGGAAGTCGTCCATTGCCCCTCCGCTCCGCTCCGCTCCGCTCCCCGCCTCCCGGGCCGCGCCCAAGATGGCGCCGTCCCCATAGCAACGGCCCTGAGGTGGTGGGCGCCGCCATGGCGCTGCCCCGGGGGCTGAGGCGCCCAGCGCCGCCCTGGGTTGTGGCGGTGTCCTGGGAGCTGCTGGGTG